GAGGCAAACAACTTGGCCACTATGCCAAAGAAAGTGAACATTTAAAAAATAGTATTTGTGATTACTGTGCTTGTGTGTGTGCACACTTGCGCTTGTGCACACACACACACACATTTGAATTACAGCTGATACTAGTTTTGAGAATACTGGATTTTTATACAGGAAACCTAGGTTCGAATCCTCGGTAAGGTCAGGGATTATCCAGTCTAGGGCAAAAATAATTTCCTGACCTGCACAGTCTGTGGCGACAGCACTAGCCATGCAACCCCTCTGCCTACACTGCAAAAGTGGTAAACACAGGTAGTAGTATTTTTTTTTTGGGGGTGGGGGGGGGGGGGGGGTTTACCATAAAATTTGTGCACTGAGCTGAGATCTCCATAAATTGCTTAAAGGATAATGTAAAGCACTTAGGGAGATATCCGTGTCCATTGAAAGTGAACCATCACATAATGAAACTTAAACAAAAAAAAAGTGTAATATAACTAGGTTTAATAGAAAGCAGCAGTATTTCTAATTTATTTGGGAATATATATATTTTTTCACATCAGAGGATGAAGAGGAAGAAGAAGAGGACGAAGAAGAAGATGAGGAAGATGAAGAAGTAAACACTCACAGAAAGACATTTGCTTCAAAGCTAAGACGGGGTATCATATTGAGTTACTGTTTGGTTAAATATTTTTCTTGTTGTCTCATATAAGTTACTTATCTTTAAAGAAAAAGAAATGTTAACATGCATACAAACCTGAAGCATGAAATACATACACAGAGCATATTTTAAAACAAAGCTTACAAAATAATATCAGAAATAAGACATCTAGTTTTGTACTTAAAAAATTTAGTTTATACTTTGCAATTTGCAGCCTTTAGGGCTTGGGCGCTGCGAGTCTGACTCATAATTCCAACATACTGTGATCGAAACCTACTGCAGGCTGCGTGGATTTTTATCGTGCTATGGGGCATCGCAGCCTTAAATGAGTACCAGGATGTATGTCCTTCAGGAAATATAGATGGCCGGCATAATGCTGACCACTTTACCCACCTAGTGCCGATTGGTCTGTAAAAATATGGGTGCTCTTCCCCTATGCCCGATGCTACTAAAGGCGTGAAAAGGGATCTTTACTTTTACTTACTTTGTAATTTAATGTTATCTTTTCATGGGGGCCACAGTAGCCTAGTGGTAAAGAGTTGTCTGCTGCTGGCCCGAAGATCTTGAAATCCAGTCAGCAGATTTGATTTACAAAAATTTTTATGATGGCTTCCAGGGCGACCCGATTTAAAAAGTTGATACCAAGAAATATGTTCTGGAAGGTAAAGGCCACCCGTGTGATGTTGACCTCATTAAGTGCCAATTGATCTATACAAATATGGGTCTAGCATCATCTGGCCAGTGTGCACTAGCATGAAAAGAGTCTGTATTTACTTGGCTTATCTCATCTCATACATAGTACAACATTTAAAGAAACAGATCAGTTTCTCTTAGTGCATTTCTTCTTTCTTCAAGTTCACCAGCCCTAAACGTCAGCGGAAAGTTATGGTTTTTTATCCACTTCTAGACTAAAGTCTTTTTTCCAGGACTTGCATATTGCATGCACATCCATTTTAAAGATCTGGCTGCTTTATTTACAGACTGTTGGTTCTTTGCCTCTCAGGCAGATGCACTTCGACTTTGAAGGAAACAGACCTAATTAGTCACCTCCTAGGACATGCTTGTAGGGGAATGCAGATCCTTGTACACACGTGTTGATTTTTGTTGTTGTTTATTGTTGGTTATAATGTTTTGTTTCATTGATAGTTAAAGGTGTCTTTTTTTCATTTTATAAGGCTGCAGTGTTGGTTTTCAAATTTGCTATTGATAAATGTTTCCTGTTTTAAAAAAGAAATGGCTGTTAAATAACCTTTTATTGGTAAACATTTATTCTGTTATTTCTTAATTAAGGTATTACATTTTTGTGTAATATTTGTTTTACTGCCAGTTGGAGATTTCTGTTTTTCCTGTTGTATATAAGTCGGTCTGTGTTGTTAATTTTAAAATTTGCTGTTGATGATGGTTTCATTTTTTGTTATGGCTGTTCCACAACCTTTTGTTGGTAAATATCTATTCTGTGTTATTTTAAAATGAAGATATAATAGAATAGACATATTTTTGTTGTGCATATTTTGTTTTTAATACTCTAGTATAAATGAAAAAAAAAAACAAGGGACACTTACCTCCTATTGCCTGTGTATTCAAAAATCATAATTGGTTGAAAATAATAATACTGTCTTTATGAAAGTTTTAACAAATTATGTTGTTTTACTGCTGGAACCTTTGGGGGGAGGGGGGCTATATGTTGATTTAAAGATGGTGGTAATTAGATGTAAAACAGAAATAAAGGCTAACTAAGAAAAAGGAGAAGGAAAAAGTGTTAAACTTGTACACACACACACACACATATAGAAGTATATGTGTGTGTATAAATATATATGTGTATGTGTATTCAAATTGATAATTTCATGTACATTCAAATAATGCAGAAATAAACACCGCATTGCACAATTTATTACCTGGCAAATTTTGCTATAAGTTGATTTGGCATCAAGGCAAGAAAAGGTATAAGCACATAATCAGTAATGTAGAACATAGGCTGTGAATGACAAAGCCAGATGACAAAGTACATGAAAATATTGTATAGCTAATTTGGATGCCAATATTAGATTATTTGGAATTCTGCAATGTCTTCAGTGTTATGTCTTTCATGCTAGAATCAGCTTCATTATGAACGTTTTCTTTCAGGTTCCAACCGTTTAGAAAACCAAAACACACAGAAAATATTTAATGACTTTGAAGGTATTACTTCATTTTAATGTAAAACATTACATTAAAAAAATATTTTCAAATGAACAATAACACTACTATGTTTGTATATTAATTCTTGCTTCAAAACATGCAGTAGGTTTATAAACAGGGAGTGTCTTATTTTTTTTCTCAGGTCCAGAAATCTATATTTGTTCATGTACAGGCTACATGTATTCAAATAGCTATGTCTTTTTCTTCCAGAACATTGTCGTAAGTCTTCAAATCCCAAATTTTGGTCTGAATTTTCTGTGACTCCATTTCCCCAGAACAATTGACTCCAATCTTTCATGTCTAGCAATGAAGATGTCTTTAAGTGAGCATTTCTTGTCTATGTAGCCTGCTTGTAATGTGTTGGTAACACAGCTGTCTGTGATTTTTACTATGAATTCTTCACCCGGATCACGACCTTCATTCATTATCAAGTGCACACCAGTTGCATCTGTTCTCCAACTTACCATTCAGCTGGCAGTTTGGCAGCAAGTCTATTATTCTGATTATTTTTTGATTAGGGCTTATACTAAAAGCTTCCCATGTGGGTTCCATGGCCAACTGTTGGGGAAACAAGAATAGACCCACTGCCTCCTCAAAAAGCATGTAGAAGGAGTCAACAGTCAGAATATGCCCTGTCGGAGAGGCAAAGAACCAAGAGTCTGCATTCAGACTAGTCAGATGTGTGAAACGAATGTGCTCGCAACACTCAGATTCCGGAACAAGACTAAAGTCTAGAGTTGAGCAAAGATCTAGAACCTTCCTCTAGAGTTTACAGCCGGTGAACACAAAGAAGAAGAAGATATTAAAAATCATCCCTGTGCTGGTTCCTGGGCCATATTATAGGGAAAACCAGAATAGACCCACTGCCTACCAAAAAGCATGTCGTAAGAGTCGACTAATTGAGAGCTTTCTTGGAAGTCGGAGTGCGTATGCCTGAGAGGCAAGGAACCAGGAGTCTGCATACAAATGAGTCAGATCTGTAAAACGGGTGCACATGCAACACTCAGGTTCTGGAACAGGACTGCAGTCCAGAAGTAGATGAACAACCAGAACTTTCCGCCAGAGTTTACAGCTGGTGAACGCAAAGAAGAAGACGATTAAAAAGCACCTTGAAAAATCATGCAAACTTGGAGGGGGTGGGGGGGAATACAATGTTTTGAAATACAACACATTATTTTTCACATTGATTTCAGATGATCAGATCAATATTAATCTTCTTCTGCACTGCCTCTTTTACTGATTCAGATGTTGAGGGAGATGAAAGGTTCTGCTTTTTGCTCTTCTGGTTGCATTGACCATTGATCTCAACTATTGTAGAGTTTCTCTGATATAATCTTTCCATATTGTTCTTGGGCTACCTCTTGCTTCCTTCTCCTCTTTTAGTATATAGGTTGTCTGGTATGGTATCACAAGGCTTTCTCTCAAAATAAGCACACCGTTTGATTTGCTGTCTTTGAATAATTTAGAATTGGTTCTGTGCCAAAATTCTCACTTGTGACCTCATTCCTGATTTGATCTCTGCTAGTCACTCTTGCAACCCTGCTCAGACATCTCATTTCCTTGGTTAGAATATTAATAATGTATGAACAGTTAGAATATCTTACAGTTGTTGTGTTCTTTAGGAAGAAGTTTCTTAGTTTATAATCTGTTAACACAGCAGTGATATGAGTTAGTTTCATACAAATCTGGGAACGTCTTTATATTAGCATCAACAAAAATATTAAATACACTACATTCCTTCATTATAGTTCCATTTGGAAGCTATATTTTTTTGACACCATTTATACTGTTGGTGTTAATATTTTTGCAAGTGAGCCAGCACCCCCATCCCAACCACCTCCCAAAATAAATAAATAAAATAAATTATAAAAAAAAAAAAAAACAGCATGGAAACTAAATTGATTTAAGAAATTAGACAAAGTAAGGAGTTTTTATTTATGGCATAAAGGTAAATAAACCCGAAAATTCAGTGACAACTGACAACTTTGCTTTAAATGAGAGCAAATGGAAAAAATAGATGATACCCTGGCTTTTCCAGCAAATGTACCATACAGCTTTTGAAGGAAGATGTTGCAGCTGTTTTATATACTTGAAGATGAAACTCTTATATTCTTTTTTATGTGTAACATTATTTGAAGCATTAACATGCACATAATTTATTACAGACTTAGAGAGAAAGTTGACAGAGGAAATTTTGACAAATAAATCAAATCCGTTTAGTTTGACAGGTAACATTCTGTAATGAATTGATCTTCAGGTGGTTACAAGTTATTAATTTGAATACTATATATTTTATTAACCAGTACAGGAGTTACCATATTTATGTCATAAATTGTATGTTACAAAAATAATACAAGATAGCTATTATTTCTTATTGAATCTATGGCATATGTTTTTGTTAAACATTGTTTATATTGTTGCTTGCTTTATGCAACTTTAACATTCTTCATAAAGGCTAGTGTGCTAGCCAGGGGTGTGCATTCAGTCCCCAGAATCTGGTGTGCAGAGGTGCTAAACTGCACATGGTGCTATATCAAGACTGGGCTTATACTGGACAAGACCTGCCTCACCTCTCCATGGTCATCCTTGAAACAGGTTCCCAACCAGGGGCCTGGCCAACATAAATAGATTTGATGTTACCTTTGACATTAGAGTGCATCTGCCTGAGAGGCGAGGAACCGACAGCCTGCCCACAAAAAAAGCCAGATCTGTAAAACAGATATACATGCATCCCAGAACAAGACCAAAGTCCTAAAGTAGGTGAACCACCAGGACTTTCTGTGGAAGTTAACAGCCACAGAAGGTGAGAAGAAGACAAATAAGAATCTTCAGGATTCTTTCTGACCAGTATGGCTGTGTTATGAACACATCATAGTGATGATTCACCATCATTAACTCCGTTCATCCCATAGCCGAACTGGCCTCTGACAGCGAGGACAGGCTGGCTCAACAGACAAAAGTGCTGGACTCCCATGCGGGAGACCAAGGTTTAGATCCACAGTAAGGTTACGTTTTTTTCCTGTCGTGGGCAAAAATAAAATCCCAACGTGCATGATCCTTGACGACAGCACCAGCTTTGCGGCCCTAAATCCTCTGACACAAAGACGTCCTTGCCTACACAGCAAAAGTGTTAAGGAAAGCCAGCAATGGCAGTTTTTATAGCTCTGAGGTTGACCCAGCCTCATAAAAATTGATGCCAGATAATTTTTCAAAATTTTCTGGGGATTTTGTGTGAATGAAAGGAGCCTAGAATGTGAGAAGACTAACACTTTACACCCAAGTAGCAGTGTTTACTGACTTCCTTCATATTTACAGTGTATTTTGTAGATTTTTTTACCGTGTATCTTTCTGTCCAGTATTTATAACTTCATACCATAATTGTTGGTTAAACATTTTTTTTGGGTCTTATTATTTAGTGTGGTTTTTGTATACAATGTGGTCTGGATGTCTTCATGAATCTTTTACAAATGTTCTGCTACGTGTATCCAGCCATTTACATATTTTATCTTAAATTGCTGTTATTACCTGGTGTGAAAACAGATGATTGCTGGACATTTTTTACTGTTGTTGTCTTGCATATACTCATGTGACCAAGACGAGTGTTTATTAAATAGTGATCAACAGGTGTAGAAACAGGAAAGAGATAGGGGCACACTAAATGTAAAAAGTAAAGGTTCCTTTTCTTGCCTTTGTACATTTAGTGCTAGACCTGTCTTTGTGTGGATCAATCAGCAGGTGATGTGGTCAACATAATATCAGCTAATTTTTTTTTAACTTCCCAGGACTTTATCTGGTACTTATTTTGGACTAGGTTTGTTTAAAAACAAAAATCAGGAATGGTATGGAATTTGAACCCTAGACCTTTGGTTCAGCAGGAACACATTTTGCCACTGTGCTACCACAAAAGCACACAAGACACTTTGAAAAAAAAAAAAATGCAATTTGTGTTGTAAAGTATGTCTTTTAATCACTGCGTCTTTTCTCTGCATCTGTGAGGGATGTCAGTGCATGCACATTTGTGTATCATACTATTTGAATATCTCTGGGTTTCCTGCTTGCCTGTCATCCAAAGGCCTTTGGGCTCAACTCTCTGGTTCTCAGATCGACACAGCCCAAAATTGCTAACAAGAAATGTCCCAGGGAGTACAAATGGCATACCATCGAGTGCCGATTGTTCTGCTAAAAAAACTTGTCTAGCAACATATCTCCCGAGGTGACATTAGCATAAAAGGGTCCTTTACTTTTTATTTGGAAGGATTTCCTGGAGATTGATGTGGTTCTGTTGAACAGTTATGTTTGAAGTAACATATGTAAATGGTTGATTTGCAGTGCCAGAAATGGTCCAGCAACAGAAATATCAAGTTTGCCAGACTCATAAAATTGGAGACCTTTTAAAGAGTGATGATGAAACAGGTTGACTTACTGATGTTTCATCTTTGGTTTAAAAAACATTTTTTTTTTTTATTTATGATTTGTTTCAGTGGAATGTAATTAATTGTGTTTCTTGTTATTGAAACCTTTGGTAATTGTGTTATGTATTTCATTCTTATTTTCTGGGTTTTAGTTTTGTTGCTGACGTTCCATAATTTATTGGCAAGTTTCACCACACAACAATTTTAAGCGTGTATAGGTTTTATTCTTGCCATCATTCATCTTATACTGAATCAGCCTGGAAAATGTATGTGTATACTTGGGTATTATTGCTCAGGTTTGTGTGCTAAAAAATTAGATTATTGCATTTCCTGTGTGGGTTCTGGAAAAGAATAGACCCCTCCATCTCAAACAAGCATTGTTGTAAAGGGCGATTAATATGGGTGTTTCTTTCAAAGTCACAGTGCGTCTGCCTGAGAGGTGAGGAATCAGCAGTCTGCAGATCTGTAAAATGGTTGTGCATGCAGAACTGAAGTTCTATAACCAGAACAGAGTGCAAAAGTGGATGAACAACCAGAGCTTTACAGCCGGTGAAAGCTAGGGAAGGAAAGGATTACACTTTTTTAAATAGTCACTGTAGAGCTATTTGTGCCAGGCCAGTCGCTACAGTACTGCTGGCATGGTGGTTGTGGTTGTGGAGCCATAATAGGTCTCTACCACTGCAAGAGGGGGACATCAGTGGAAAGATACCAGCTGTATAAAGTTACTGCTCATATGTTCGGGACTCTAAACTCCTGGCATATCAAATAGATTATGTTCACAAGAATTAATTTGCGTTACTTTGACACATGAAATGTAACATTTTTTGTGTGTTACACGGAACATGATCTTATCTGTAAATATTTGTTGAATGTTAAAACCTCGGAGGCTGCTACATAATTTGTTGATTTTAACAGTATTGAAAATGGTGTTTTATCCGTTTATTAAATAATTTTTCAGCTTGCACCATGTTTATGCCTTAACCAGTGCTTGACATGTTCATTATCTACAAGAACCTGACAAAACATTGATTCTGGGACCTGTTTGATCAGAAAAGGGCTTTGGTGAAACACGTTTAGCATGACACATCTGAGGGACACATGTCAGAAAAACACATTCAGAGGAACACATTAAGTGAAACGCACCTGTTGAAACACATCTAGACAAATAGTCTGTTAGAACACGTTTAGGGGAACATATTGAACAGTTATATGACAAACAGATCTGTTGGAACACATTTTGTGAACACATATAGAAAGAACATATCTGTTGAAACACGATTATGGGAACACATTTAGGAACACATTTAGGGGAAAACATTTTGTGAACACATATAGGAAGAACATATCTGTTGAAACACGATTATGGGAACACAATAAATAGGAACACATTTAGGGGAACACATCTGTATGAACACATTTAGGGGAACACGTCTGTTAGAACACATTTAGGGGAACACGTCTATTAAAACACATTTAGGGGAACACATCTGTAGAAACACATTTAGAGAAACACATTTAGAGAAACACATCTGTAGAAACACATCTGAAGGAACACATTTAGGGGAACACGTCTGTTAAAACACAGTAAAGGTACACACATAGTGGAGCACATGTGAGAAAAATACATCTGGAGAAAAACATCAAGAGAGGCATATCTAGGAAAATCTATCCTAAGAAACACATCAAAAAGTCCACATGTTCCCCAGATTTAACTGACCTGCTGCAGAAAAAGATGTACAGTCCATCTGGTTGTGAAAAATCTGAGTTTATATTTGCCAAAAAATGTCTCACTTTTTATTTCTCTGGCAGACTTTTCTCCAACAGAGAAGGGTATAACCACATCCTTAAAAGACAAAGATAGTCAAGGTACAGAATGCTGGTTTTTTAATATTAAGTCTTAAGTTTGTAATTAGTGAAATATTATTCCACTGAATATCATCTTGGTACAAAAGGTTATTGGTAATAATTTTAGTTCTCTGTGTTTCAGTCCCATACAGCAGTTAGTTAGTCTTTCCTCTTGAGCCTAGGGCGGCACATAGGGCATAGGTCATAGCTTTCCATGTCTGTTGGTTCGTTGTCGCCTGTTTTAGGTCTTGGATGTTTATTAGGCTTTTTGATGAGCCTTTCCTGATAATGATTCTATGCAGGGTCTCTCTTGGTCTTCCCCGTTATCTTTCCTTTTCTAGTGTCCATGTAAGAGCTTCATGGGGGAGTCTTGTCTGATCCATTCTGAGTGCATGGCGGATATAGTTCCAGTGGTGCTGTCTTATAAAATTGGATACATTATCTTGCTTGGTCTCTTGTCTTATTTGCATATCGGATATTATCATTTGATATAAGAACTAAATATTTTAAGTTTGGTTTGGGTTTTAATTTTGACTTCCACAAATTTCTCAGTGCTATGAAATCTGTTTTTGGAGTCTTCATGTCATCATCATCATCATCCTTTTGTACTGTTATGTGTCACATAGGGCTCACATAGGTCTATTCTTCCAATTCTGGTCTATCCGGTGCAATTTATTTAATGTGAACAGAATCCTGTTCAGCACCTTTGGCCTCTCATCAACATTGGTCTTAAGGTGTCATTCAGACATCATTGCCTCCTTAGTCCCCGTGTTTCCTTTCCATTTAAGTTCCTATTTGGTGATTCTCTGTTTGCTTCTCCTCAGGGTGGGCCTAATAAATTATTGTCTTCTTTGTTTTGTAACTGTTGATACTAGGGGTTTTCCCCTGTGTGGGTTTCAGGGCCACTGCCTCCACTACAAGCATGTCATAAGAGTCAACTAATTGGGGGCTTCGTTTAAAGTCAGAGTGCATCTGCCTGAGAGGCAAGGAACCAGCAGTCTGCATACAACTAAGCAAGATTTATAAAATAAATGCACTTGCAAAACTCAGGTACTGGAACAAATCCAAAGTCCAGAAATGGACAAATAACCAGGTATTTCTGCTGGGGTTTACAGCCAGTAAACATAAACCAAAAAAACCACAATACTAGTGGTTGTCCAGACATTTCTCTTATTTGGTTTCTTTTCAGAAATTCATTTCATTTAATATTCTTCATTTGCTTTTTAGTTATCTTATAAGGTTCTCTATTTAATCACTGCAGCAGAATATTTTAATAGATAGTTTATTAGTCACTCATTGCTTAATTTAATGTTGAGGTCTTTGGTACTGTCAGATTTCTTCCGTCAATGATATCTTTACAGAAAATGTATTCTTACGTGATATATAATCAAATAAAAACTCAGCAGAAGTAATCCATGTTCACCACTCCTTCCACAGCTTCCCCAAAGAGAAGTGAGAAGCCTAGTCAGGATGCTGTTGAGACTCAGCTACAGAGAAAAGAGGAAGACGAAAAGGCTGATAATGCCGGTTAGTCTGGATATTTATTTTAAACAAACAATGCAGTCAGAACTAAAGTTTGCTATCATGCAGTCAAGATTAATATTATTATATTATCCATAATTTACTTGGTTAATTATTCTCTTGAGCTTGTATTTCAACAGTTCCAACCATTTAAGTGAAGTAGGTATTTCAGTTACTGCCATCAAATCTTGCTCTGGTTACCATATTTTAATTTACATTATCCATAAGATTATCTTTTAAATGACTCTTGGTTGTATTTCAACGAATTAAATTTTAAATTGTCTTGTTTATCGGACTCTTTAGTCACATTTATTGAAAAATTTTTTCAGTTCCTACAAGGAGAAAATTATAAGATGTTTATTGTCTTTTAATGTATCAAATTTTCAGCCTTGGAAGTTGTAATTCACAAGTTGGTGACAAACAGTGAGCACTTAGTAGCAGAAGCAGTTAAAGCACAGGCAGAAGTGGCTCAGTGCATTCGCAATCAATCTAGACTGCTGCAACAGGCCATGGATGACACATCTGAAGTGAGTTGTCTTTTGTTATGATCTTACAAGGTAGCTTTAAGACAGTGGCAAACATTTTACCGGTTGTTTCTTGGGCATTCCAAAGGTTATTCTTGCTGTATTCCAAAGATTATTCTTGCTGTATTCAAAAGATTATTCTTGCTGTATTCAGAAGATTATTCTTGCTCTATTCCAAAGATTTTTCTTGCTGTATTCAAAAGATTATTCTTGCTGTATTCAAAAGGTTATTCTTGCTGTATTCAAAAGGTTATTCTTGCTGTATTCAAAAGGTTATTCTTGCTGTATTCAAAAGGTTATTCTTGCTGTATTCAAAAGGTTATTCTTGCTGTATTCAAAAGATTATTCTTGCTGTATTCAAAAGGTTATTCTTGCTGTATTCCAAAGATTATTCTTGCTGTATTCCAAAAATTTGTTCTTGCTGTATTCAATCGAAACAAAAAAATTACTTTTGCACCCCTTATGGGACATTGCAAAACCAACCCTAGCATTTTGTGTGTGCCTTTTTGAGTTGAGTTGAGTCAAGAATTGACATCACAGCACTCGGGGCATTCCCATATGCGCTCCGTCCCCATCCTCAGCAGCCAGCGCAGAGCTCCAATACTAATGGTGCTGGTCGCAGTCTGGTTGTGTGTCCATCTTGCCTTTCCTCTGAGCGTAGTGTAGTATTTTTTGCCTGTTTGCGATTTAACTGGGCAGTTTTATGTTAAGTAGTTTGCCATTGCTTCTGAACGGCCTGCTTTCAATACTGTTGTTGATCAATGCAAAATGGTCTGCTGTCAAAACACCTGCAGCTGGAATTGAACCGAATATCTCTGGAATTAGAAACTACGTTCACAACACGCAAACCAGAGAGGCTAACTGTGTTCTGTTAACAGATGCAGACTTTTATGGTATGTTAACCCTTTGTATGCGAATTATAATTCAAGTTTATTTACCAAAGTATGTCTGTTGGACTCCTTCAGACCAAAGTATTTATTGCTTGTAAGGAGACCTCTCGGGATAGAAGTAACATTGATTGAAATTGAAAGTTACAAAGTGCTGGACTTTGTGTTTATGTATAGATCATTGACAATGCAAGCTCTTTCTTCTTGTCATCTTCTGTGGATTAGGCATTTTGAATGCCCAAGTAAAGGTGGCTGATGTGAATTTGACCACATCATCAATTTATTGCTGATTGATCTGAAAAAATACGACGCAAATAGGGGGTGACGGCAGTAGAGCTGATTGCGAGAAATGCTAAATATAACATAAAATGAGACTAGAAAGCTCAACAGAGGGAATGGAAAAGATGCACACAAACACAGCCGAACATTTCAACCAAAGTCTTTATCAACAGAGTAGTAAATACAGCCACATTTAATAATATACAATAAATACAGCAAGCTGTATGTATTTAGTACTTCGCTGATAAAGACTTTGATCCAAACGTTCTGTTTTTGTTTGTGCGCATCTTTTCCATTCCCATTGTTGAGAGTTTGTAAGAGTGTTATGGATTTTTAGTATGGCCAAAATATCACTTGTCTCTTTTTGTTTTGTTTTCTCCATTATCAACTCCCTCTTTATTCCTTTCTGTTCAGAACCTATGATTGTTTTTGTTTGCATGAAATATGGCCTATTCTTCTGGATATCCACATCTAAAGAGATTCTGATATTCAAGTATATACACAGTTTGAATAAATGCTCATGCCACAGAGTTTGTGTACTGTATTGTCATTCTCCTTTTGTGATTAAGGTTCAGACCTGAAGTATTTATGTCCATGTACATTGAAAGTGATCTTAACCCAAACCAGACTTGCAACAGCCCAAGAAATCTAGTTATAAAAAGTGTAAAAAGCTTTATCACTTGCTTGTTTTCACATTTTTAGACAAGTATTCTTTTTTACATTTATTTTGAATACCTTATTTTCTTTAATAATTGTATTTGTTTTAATTATAATTAATCTTCTTCAGTGTTGAGTTAATGCTGGATAGATCTCTGTCTGGTGAATCTTCCGATGTTTTCTGCACTGTTCAGCTGAATTATATGTCAGTCCACTTTTATTATTTGTATTTTGCCATGGAAAAAGATGTGGGCAGGGAAAAAATGTGAGCTTTTAGTGTGTTGATATTTATTCTTTTGATACATTTGGTAGCAGATTCCCTAGGCAGAAAATAACCACTGAAAAATCTTTCAGTGGAAGGTGCAGTGAGCGAAGCCAGATTTCTTTAGTATGTTATGTTATTACAACCAAGTTCTTGGCACAATAAACATTTTCATGTGCGCTATGTCCTCAGATAAAGCGGCCACTCCAAGGTACCTTTTTAGTATTTTATTTTTAGTATTGTGTGATCACTGTTGAAAGTATCACAATACATCACCCCAGTGGTTCCCAAATAGCTGTTCTCTAGATCCAGGATTTTTCCTGGTACCCATTTTAGATATGGAACGGAAGTTAAGTGCATTTGAAAATAATGTCTGAGAAAATTCATAAACATAAAATGGGATGAGTTAAAAATGATAGAAAGGAGATCAGAGAAAGGTCTGGACAAATACCTGTTTGACAGCAATAAGACAAAGAAGGTGGGGATATATTGGGTGTACTCTGAGACAAAATGAGCAAAGAATTATAAACAGGCACTGAAATGGGAAACAAATGTCTGAGGGAAGAAGAGGATGTTCAGGGGAAACATTAAGAAGAACATGCGAGAGGCAAAACATGCTTGGCTTAACTCCAAGTCAGAAATCAAGAAAGTTGTGTGCAATAGTCGGAATGGAGGAATCAAATGCAAACCCTATTTGGTATCTCATGGCACACAAAGGTTGATGATGATTTTAGATTGCTTACATGGGAGCCACAATCATTTATTTTAAAAAAATCCACCCTGGTACAGATTTGAACCCAATAGTTCAGTTATTGAGTCGGTTTAACTTTTGACTATGTTGATATCACCAACAGATACTTCAGAAGGATTCCCAGTGGGAGGCTGTGGCAGTTGCCCACAGAGAGAAAGAGCTTGCTATGATCAGGGCTGGGGAGCTTCTGGCAGAATCAAGGTAAATCTTGTCTGTGCTATAATGTGAGCTCTTTCACTCAGTTCTCGTTATGATTAGTGGCACATGAGGCTTCAGAGAGGACTTTCCATGCTTTCCTGTCCTGTGCAATCTTCAGTGCAGTTTTCCATGCCAGAGATGCCGCACTCAGGTCACTTTCCATCGTTCGTCTCCATGTTGAGAGCTGTTTTGTCAGGTATATCAGGATTCATTCTCATAACGTGGCCAAGCCATTTCCATCTTCTCTTGGTTATCATACCGTCTAAAGTTTCTTGGTTTGTGACTTGAAGTAGTTTAGTGTTTGAGATTGTATCTGGCCAAAATTTTTTGATATTTCTACGTAGACATGAGTGGTGGAAGGTGGACAGCTTGTGTGCATCCTTTTTGGTCATTCTCCAGCATTCCGCAATGTGAGCTTTTAAATAATTCTTATTTAGAGAGATTTTAAAGGAAACTGGGCCATAAACAATACTTTTGCTCAGAAACTGAAACACTTTGGCCATATTAAATGCCACGATGGTTTTGAAAGAGCAGTAATGGAAGGTAGGGGTCCTGGAAGACCAGCATGATGGGACAAACACAGTATCAAGCACAGCTTGTGCAGGAAAGTAACATCATAGGACAGTAATCAAAGGACTAAGTGGTGCCATGGTGAGAGCAAAGTGATGCCATAGTGAGAGCAGTGCTCTGCAAAGGACATGCTAATTGAACGATGTACAGGGATCAGCACACCAAAGAGAAATATACATTGGGTTAGGAATATACATTGGGTTAGGAATATACATTGGGTTAGGAATATACATTGGGTTAGGAATATACATTGGGTTAGGAATATACATTGGGTTAGGAATATACATTGGGTTAGGAATATACATTGGGTTAGGAATATACATTGGGTTAGGAATATACATTGGGTTAGGAATATACATTGGGTTAGAAATATACATTGGGTAAGGAATATACATTGGGTTAGGAATATACACCGGGTTCAGAAATAATGTTACAAACTCTTACATTGATCAATTCTCTTGTAGAGCAGATAGCTTGTTTAGAGAGAAACACTCTTGTCTTTTTGTGCTAGTGCCTCACCTGAAGCAGACGTTGAGATCATGCATTTGCAATTTTATCTGTCATATGATGTTTTAATGAAATTATGTTATTTGTTTTGCTTAGCTGTTTAAGTTTTCCACTTACATCTTTCTCTATTTTCCTTTGCTTCTTTTTGTCTAGTATTTTCTTTACTTGAAGCTTGTTTCTCTGGGCACACCAAATACATTTCATGTTATCTCCTTATGGTTTTGATTAGAAATCAAGAAACACCTGCGTATATCAGTAACCCAGCAAAAGTGCACCATGTCTTTTAATGTGTGACAAATATTCTACTGGTCTCTCTTTTTTAATGAATAAATGAAAGAATGAACATATGAATGGATGGATGAATGAACATATGAATGGATGTATGAATGATGGATGAATGAATGGATGGATGGATAAATGAATGAATGGATGGATAGATAGATTATTGGATAAATGAATGAATGAATGAATGAATGAATGAATGAATGAATGAATGAATGAATGAATGAATGGATGGATGGATCAATGAATGGATGGATCAATGAATGGATGGATCAGTGAATGAATGGATGGATGGATGGATGAGTGAATCAAGAATTGACATCCCTGCACTCAGATATTCAACACATGCTCCATCTCCTTCCTCAGCAGGCAGCAAAGAGTTGCAATAGTAACAGTACCAGTTGCAACCTGATTAAAAGTTTCTCCCCTCAGTGTTGAATATTTTCCAGACCCTCTGCTCCCCCCCCCCCCCCCCTTCCCCCCCCCCCCCAGCTGAATTAGCCTTAAAAAAAACTGTCACCAATTCTCTGTTCGCCTCAAGCATTTCTATAACATGTGTATTTGATTGTTCTTCTTTCCATGAAAGACAGCATATTTTCATTAAAGACCAATTCTTTTCATGTTAGGGCCTGATCTAGTGAATATAATCTAATTCTTTCACATTTCTGCTGTGTTGTTTACATATCCACCTTAAGACAGTATGCGCTGAGACTAATATTTATGTCATTTATGTTTTCAAGGAAAAGCGTGGAGAAGCTTCGGGATGTCTTGCAAGAAGGCAAAGCCAGTGCCGTCACACAAAACAATGCTGCTATCTATCCAGCTTCCAAACAATACCATGAATTTGTAAAGCAGCTAGCTAGTGCTAATTTACAGGTGTGATTTAATTAACTTTTGTAGTTTTTCGTATTTCTAACAAGTAATAATTTAGAAGTATGTCACTGATGGCAACCATATGTGCCAGTTTGATTGGGGGGGGGGGGGGGGGGGGGGGGTAATAGTTTACCATCTTACATAATCACCAGTTTTGGACAGTTTTTGTCTCTTATCTTGTCCTTCTTCTTCTCCTCCTTATCATGAAATTCAGTACTGTTCCAAAGAAGAGAGCATCAATTGATTCTCTCTGTGAGAATAACTATTTGTGCTCAGGTTCATTAAAAATTAGAGAAGCATGAAAATTCTGATTTTTATATTTCATCTGTCGTTATAAATGTTCATCTGCAAACTTTTAGATAGTTTGTTTTGCTGCTTTTAAGTCATCAAAATATTAGAAGAAGAAGTTAAAGTAAATAAAGACCTGTAACATTTGCTTTAATGAATCTTAAATCTTAGCTCCAAAGAAAATGTTAGAAATGATAAATAAAACATGGAATTCTAATGTTACATATTTTAGGTCAAGCAGGCAGAGAGTGAAGCCAATGTATTGCAGAAATATAAAGATTTGGTTGACAAAGGGAAGAAACAGTTTCAGAAAGAGCTTGAAACTCTGATGCCCAGTGGGAAACTGGCACCTGGTGAGTTTATATCTTCTTGGATTTGAAGTTTTCTTTACTGTTGTCATTAATCATGTTTATTGTGAGGAATTAATGTCACTGCACTGCAGGGGGAAAATTCAGAAATACTCCTCTTTTCATAGATGTTGCATGATGTAGTTGTTCATTGTACTTGTCACTTGCTGATTAGCTTAATCTGAATGCCATCCTTGTCTGTGGCCAAGTTTCTTACTTGATTCTCCACTCCAGCAGCTAGAATCAAATGTTGTCACTCTGCACCAACTTGTCAATTATGAGGTCTGTTAGAAAAGTCTCTGACCTGTCTTCTTCTTCTTTTTCTCCTCTCCTCCTGGAAGAAGATTTCAGGTGTTGGAGTTACAAGGATCTGATTCTTGCTCCTCTGGCTGCCTCTAGCATAAACTCATTGTCCTGTTGTAAGGTTTGATGCCATGGCTGCCTCTAGCATAAACTCATTGTCCTGTTGTAAGGTTTGATGCCATGGCTGCCTCTAGCATAAACTCATTGTCCTGTTGTAAGGTTTGATGCCATGGCTGCCTCTAGCATAAACTCATTGTCCTGTTGTAAGGTTTGATGCCATGGCTGCCTCTAGCATAAACTCATTGTCCTGTTGTAAGGTTTGATGCCATCTGCCAGCACCTCTCTGTCCTTGCAACTGACAGCTAAACTGAAATGTATTCTTTTGTTCATGTACAGGCAAAAAGTTGTCCGAGGATGACCTGAATGCTCTTATTGCCCATGCTCATCGTAGAATTGAACAGCTACAGAAACAGATTGCAGAGCAGCTGGCCTTGGAGAGACACAGACTTGCTTCTGCTCTTGAAACCCAGAGACAGGAAGATTTGAAAGTAGCTAACATTGCATTGGCTGAAGAGCGGCGGCGCATGCAGACTGAGTTTGAATCTGAGAAGGTGAAAATGGTGAGTGGTCAGCAGTTGTATAACTTATTGTCTCTGAAATATCTTTATACTAAACTGGAGTACTTCATGACAGTAGGAAAGTTAGAGGGGAGGAGATGCAGATGGAGACCAAGAGAACAGATCCTGGACAGTTTGACATCATGGCATGAAGGTTCATCTGTGTCAGAGTTGATTGAAAGTACACGAGACAGAAGGTTGTGGATTGACATGACTACCATCGCCACACGACATGGACTTTAAAAAAAATTAATTTTTTTTTCTGTTTATTCCTTTGTACATCAAAATCTGCATTCTGGATGTGGGCAGATTCTGTATTTGGCAGCCATTTTTGTGTGCGTTATAAACATTCACAAGATAGGATATTAAGTACTTTGTTCTTTACAGTCTAGAGACTTTTAATTCATGGTGGAATACAGCACTTGTAACTCTTGGGTCGAAATTTGTTGTGTGCAATCATAGTTTATGCTGATTTTAGTATTTTGTGATCGTATTTATGAACAAAAAGAAACAGTCAAACTTCAGAATCTATTTAAATCACCACTAATTACTAGCAGCATAATGGTTAACAGATTGCCACTGCTGGGACATAGAAAAATAATAGATAACAGAGAGAGTGTACATGCAAGATGGGAGTAGACCATGAGGCAGACCAAGAAAAATATGGGGAGATAATGTATAGACAGACCTTGAAACACTTGAATTCACCAACTGGAAAAAGAAGGCCAACCACTGAGATGAATGGAGGTGTGGGGGATAATGCAGCAATGAACCATAAAGGCTTGAAATGCTGAAGACGAAGAAGAAGTTCATACATATGTTCTACACAGACACAAACCATGATGAATTTAGCATTTGGTAATCAGGTTTATTCCTTTGTTCTCTGATATCCAGGATGTAGAGTACCTAGAGCAGATGGAAAGCGAGGTCAGGAAGCAGCTGGCTCGCCAGGCAGCAGCTCACAGTGATCATCTGAGGGATGTATTGATTGCCCAGCAACAGGAGCTCAGTGTGGAGTTCAACCGAGCATTGCACCTCAAGATTTTAGAAGAAAGAGAGAGGTTTCAAGGAGAAGTTGCCGGATGGATTGCAAGGTTGAAGGGAATTGAGACAGCTGTTGAAGGTTTGCAAAATTAACATTTACAGTTAATATATTTTCAGTATCATCTTCATCATGCTGCAGGAACCCTATCAGCCGTTATTATTCTCTCAGAACTGTTATGGTTGAATCATTTCATATTTTCAGCATCATATGGGTAAGGAATATATTTACATCTGATGTGATGAACAGCATCTTTAAAATGAGCATTATCACTTGTTATGTACATTCAATAACTACACATTAAATGCACTGTCTCTGCAAGGTCACTAACAGTACAAGAAGAGATGGGTTACAAGTACCAGCTTTAGAGAGAAAGCTGAAATAAGACTATGTTTTGATTATTTTGACACACAAAGAATGAAATGGTTCAGCCATCCGGTGAGACTGCAGCCATCCAAACTGCATATGAGACTTTTTACACCAGAACATTTGTGAAGAAGGTGAGAGGAAGACCAATAATGAGATTGATAAATGGTATAGCAGAAACCTGTAAAAAGATGAATAATCCATCACCCAAGTCACCCAAGAAGTGCAAAACAGATACAGAAAACCACGACACTGAGCTACAACTTCGAATCAGTGAGATGGCAAAAGAAGAAAAAAAGAAGATATACATTCAATGCCACAGTATAACTCAGAAACTTGGACCACAAACAAGCAATTAGAAAGTTGAATTGAGGCAATAGGGACATGGCTATGCCGAAGAATAGGCTATATTTCAGAAAACAACAAAATGTAAAGATTTTAGAGAGACTGGGTATGAAAATATAGGTTTTGAAAGATATAAAACAAAGGCAAATGAAATACTTTGCCCACTAAGTAATAACACTCTTAATAACACTCTTATAACAACCATTCTGGAGTGAAAGGTTGAAGGCAGGTGTACAAGAGAGGATAACTTTAAAAAATGGATGAACAGCACATCCAGGACTAGAGAATGATGCTAAAGATCCATTTCAGCCAGCGTTGATTGTGGATATTTTAGTGATAGGTTGATTTGGTTAACTCCAATTTTTGAAGCAAAAGTAGTAACATGTGCAAGCATGTCACAAGAAGTGACTAAGGCGGTCTACAAGGCAAGTTACTTAAGGTGCAGTATGGCTGATAGCAGGCTGGTGTTTTCATTTTTTTTTTTCTTTCTACATATGGTTGGCTGTTGTTGTATTTTCACCCATGATTGGACTGAAGGTAAATTGTTCCGTCTACCGGCTAATGATTTCAGTGCATTGCATGTCACTGTGAGCTGCAGATTTAATTTAGAATGCTTCTTAACTGTGCCCAGCATGGTTTGTGTTATGACTGTTGTCACACAACTGGTGGTGCCTTATGTTATATGATATAGCATATGAAACTACTGATCTGTTGCAATTACTGCTTCCATCAATGAAGAAGTGCATTTCTTGTGGTGGACTGTTTGTTTTGGCACTTCTGATGGCCACATTATGTATTTAATGCATGTGCATGCTATTAGCTTTACAGGACTACAGTCTGTTTCATTTTTAATCAAAAGGGACAACAATGGTCATTCTTTGTGTTTTTCACTGGCACAGAAAGTGAGCAACTAGGACGAGACTTTGCTGTGAAATTTGAACTGTTAGAGATCTTTGGCTCTATAATTCAGTCAGTCATGAAATAAATACAAAACACATTGACATTAAGTTGGTTGATGGTTTGTACTCTGTTGGGCGATGAATAAAGCAGAAGAAGGAAGAATAAGATCTCCTAGCTTCCTCAGCGCCACTAGAAATAGCTGAGATAGCATAGACAGCTAGATGGTTTGAAGATCATTTATTCAAAAAAATGTTTCTTCGTCTTCCTTGTTTACCTAGAATAGAGGACATTGGTAGCAAAGTGGCATATTGAACTTCTCTGATCAGCCTAATAGAGTTCAGCATGGTTCTTTGTATGACATGTTTTGCCTTCCATGTTAAATTCCTACTTGTCGATCAGTCTGTACTGGTGCGGCCTGTTTTCATAATAACTACTTAGAGGTAGTCTAGATTTGTTATCTGCATCTTTTTCTGTCCTTGGTGTAAACAGTCAGGTAAATTCATGTCTTTTGCCACATCTTTAGTTGCAAATCAACATTAAGACTTTCCTGAGACTTTAGAAAATAAAAAAATAAACTGTTTATGTGGAAGACTTTTCTTAACGAGGGCAGGTCTTGCTAGTCACACTTATCTCATGCCTCCTCATAGTGCAATATAACACCTATTACGCCCTGGAAACAGCCGGAAAGTTTCCATTGTAAGGCTACTAGTTGTAACAGCAAAGGCGCCATTCATCTCCTTGATGGTTTTCCCCACTTAAGCTTATTGTGAAGGCCCATGCACTTTGCTTGCCCCTAATTACTGACCCATCTGTGTAAACTATAGCGTCATCTTCATCTGTGTTTTCGTCAATCAGTGTTCTGACTAAAAACACCAACAACATGAAAATGCTCTCTACAGCTTCTTATCCCAGTGCGATATTGACTGTAATATTTATATTTGGAGAGGGAGGCATAATTATCCATTCATTTCCAAAATTAATGTCAGTAAGGTCACAAACATGTTTGATGGTATCCTCCGCATGACCCATCCAGGATTCTGCTCTTTTTTTGCTTGAATAATTCCTCATAAAGTGGGTTTTGATGGTCTGATTTCACTTTGAGAAAAGCAACAGCCCTGGATAACTTGATTCTGTTTTCCATTTTGGAGAAATCCAAGAGGTATCGCGGTTTACAGGAGGTGTCTCTAGTGCAAAAATAATGCTCATTGCCTCGTTTTCAATTTTTTCGAGTCTGCATCTGTTTGGTGTGATTGTCATGATGGCCAGGCATATTCGATCATCATTGGTGGAGTAATGCATGTACAACATTACAAAGTAGCCGTTGCTAAAAGTTTTACAGCTCCCATAACTTTTATTGAGAAAGTTTGCTTCTTGGCTTTTTTTTATATTGCAAACATGTTTTTTTTAATCCATCTCTCAGACGTTATACCCAGGTATGTCATGGAATGGATCACACCTGCAGCGCCTAGAGTTTTCTATCTAGGTTTTCTAAAGGTATTTTTGTTTTGAGAACCAGGTGACTTTTTTGATAATTAACTTTGCATGATAATATGCAATGGCACCTGTGGTAGATGCAGCACACATTTCTGAGAACTGGTGTCCTAAGAGTAACCTCTCCACATATGATAAAGTTCGTCCTCTGCCACTCATTTGCACACCTGTGATCTTGACCGTGTAAAGGCTGATGGAGAATAGGAGACAATGTTGAACCCTGAGCCGGGGTCAGTGTTTGAATCGACTCAGAAGACTCTTTGTATCTGATTTTTTTTATGAGGCGTATCAAATGCACTGCAGCCTCGCCAAAAAGCAATGTCTTCTTAACACACTTACATCCAGAACTCTTCTAGGTTTCCTTCATAGTTTTTAGACTAATTGCTGTCTTAGCTGATCACAAGGAGATTGAAAAGTTTTTGGTCGTATTGCCATGAGGCGATCTAAGTAGAAGCTTGAGGCAGGGTAATGCCACCCAGACCTGAGAACCACTGTCTGAAAGAACTTCTCGAATGAAGTGAAGTTTTCTGGTCCCAGAATTGAATGGAGGCTGGATTTTATCTTGACAGGCTATAGAGACCTCATCTGGGTTGACCTGGAATGCAGTAAAGAAGGCCAACCAGAGAGCCTGAATATGGATTTGAGCCCTAGATATCTGCCTGCAAGGTGAACCTCTAGACTCCACATGCTCCAGAAGAAGAATTTTTTTCGACTAATTGACATTCGATGCTGCCTGGTGAAAATTTGAACCCAAATCTTCGAGCTGACATTTGTGCGCCTAATCACCACTCTGTCATGCCAAATGGCTACCAATATGGGTAGTACTTGCTAACATGTCTTTTTTGTTTCCAGCCCGAGCAACAAGTGAAAAACTGTCAAGGGCAGCCCAGGACCTGTGGCTTGCATGTATTGCCCTGAATTCTGCCATTGCCTACAACAACATCAGTGAAGAAAGAAATGTTAAGCCTTTAAGAGACAATATAGAGCTCATACTGCAAGTTGGCCAAAAGGTAAGGTTTGATAATTGTTGTGCATCATATTTGTTGCTTTCTTCTATCTTTTTCTTCTATCAGTAGAGAAACAAAATTATTAGGGCCTGGAGAGAACGAGGCACCTGGGTGTAACCAGAGGGTCTGGTCAGCTCACTACAATCAGAGGAAAGGCAAGACGGACATGTTACCAGATTGTGACCAGTACCATCAGTATTGGAACTCTGTGCTGGCTGCTGAAGATGAGGACGGAGCGCACATGGGAATGCCCTGAGTGCTGTGATGTCAATTCTTGACTCCACTCGACTCAATTCTATCTGTCTGGACATTGGCTGAGAATCTGATTACAGTGTGATGTAAGTAAAGGACCCCTTTCTATGTCATTAGATCCCCGTGTGGGTTCTGGGGTTCTATTATAGGGAAAACAAGAAAAGACCCACTGCCTACCCAAAAGCATGTTGTAAGAGTCAACTAATTAGGAGCTCTTTCGAAGTTTGAGTGCATTTGCTTGAGAGGCAAGGAACCAGCAGTCTGCATACAAATGAGTTAGATCTGTAAAATGGATGCACACACATCACTCTGGTTTTTGGAACAGGACTGCAGTCCAAAAGTGGATGAACAACCAGAACTTTCCGCCAGAGTTTACAGCGAACATGACGATAAAGAAGAATATGCCATTAGAGCACTGAATATATGATGCTAGTCTCATATTTTGGCACTCGATGAGTAATGTGGTCAACATCATTTTATAAAAGCTGGCTGCTTTGACTTCCTAGGATATAAACTTGTACCCAGTACCCATTTTTAGTCTGGGCTAAGCTGGGAACCAATGTCAGATTTGAAAAAAACAAATCTGCCACAGTATGGATTCGCACTTAAGATCTATGAGCTGGCAGGTGAGTGTCTAGCCACTGTTTTCATGGATCCCCTTTTGACATTGACACAGCTAAAGTCTGATAAAAAACTTAGCTAAAGTCTGATAAAAAAAACTTACTAGCCTGGATTTAATCATAGCTGCCATTTATTCCTTGAGTGTGAAAGTTCATGAGGCGGGAGAACTGGCAAGAGACCGAGTTTCTTACAGGCAGACTGTGATGAGAGCGACGTTCTGCAAAGGACCTGCTACATGATGATGAGCCATTTATTCAGGAATAAAACACAACACCTTGGAGATGGTCATTAGTTACCACTTTAGCAAAACATTCTATACACCAACCTCATTCTGATAGATGCAGGCTCTTTTCAGGGCTCAGGCAAACTGAATGTCTCTGCATTGGACTTTGCAATTAGAAATCAGTCTTTAAGAGTAGACACACTGGGGACAGCAATAACCAGACTACCTCCTACCTATCATCTAACAGTCAACCAATCCATCTACAATTTACCTACATACCAGCCAACCAAACCCACCATCTGCCTACTTAACGATGTGCCCCGAGAACTACATACCTACCTTCCTACATCAAGTACCTACTTACTAGCCAACCAACCATACCAGCCAACCATCCATCTGCCTACAAACCAGCCAACCAACCATCTGCCTACATACTAGCCAACCATCTACCTACCTATCTGCTTTCAAACCAGTCAACCAACCAACTAGTTATCTTTTGGTGTGATACTAATAAATTTTTTGGGAGGAGATTATTTTGTCAGGAAACAGATATCTTAGCCACAAATTGTGATGGGTTTGATCAAAAACTGGATAAGCAAAAGAGTTGAATGGGAGCAGCTATGAGGCAGACCAAGATGATGTAGACAGATGATATACAGGCAGATCTGCAAACACTCGGAGTCACCAACTGGAAAGAGAAGGTCACTTAGAAAGATGAATGGAGATAAGTGATATAAGCATTGTGGATCTCAAGAAAAAAAAAAAGATTAGTGTAAATCCTTTGAAATTTTTGTAAACTTTCTTTCCCCAGCATCCATTTGTGGAAACAGTGGCCAGATCAGTTCCGTATGCTGCCCTTGATAGAGGTGTCAATTCCGAAGATGAGCTGCGACACAGGTTTAACAAAGTTTCTCGTATTTGCCGCAGGTTGGGCCTTGTAGACACCACCAACTCATCCCTTTACAAATATCTGATATCATATTTACACTCTTTCATTGTACTTGACAATGTTGTGGCTACCGCAGAAGGGGAGGAAATTGATCTTTCAGACTTGGACAATTTTGCCTTACTGTCCCATGCACAATATTGGATGGAGAAAGGGGACTTGGATATAGCTTTGAGATTCATGATTCAATTGACGGGAGAGTCTCGCAAAGCTGCCAGTGACTGGATCGAGGAGACTCGGCTTCTATTAGAAACAAAACAAATCGCTAAAACTCTAATGGCTTATGCATCAGCAATGGGAATAGCGAATACATTTTAGATTGTGAATGCATTTGACATTATGAATGCAGAGTTAGTTACATTATATTTCAGAATTATTTCCACTTCCTTTTGTTCATAGTCAATATTAAATATATACAATTTAGTCATCGTTTGAATTTCACCCAATTTTGTTATGGAGTGTGAAACAGATGAAAGTATATGTCGCCTGTGTCTTTAGTTACAGTTGTAGTGAGGTTTGTTTACTCTCAGGGTTTATTAGTGTTTAATAAGTAATAAATTAAAAAAATGAGATGACATTCTATGGCAACAGTGGTCCTGAAATCCCAAAGCTCTAGTCTTGGAAGACAGATGTTTACAGACCAGTGGTTATTTCAATATATGTATACCTTGAAGGAAACCAGTGATTTAACACTCATCTGTCAATCAAGTGCCATCTGCACAGTGAAGGTTCGGTTGCAAAAGATCTATAACACTCTCTGCCCCTTGTCCTGGTTGTACATTCTCTCTCAGACTGCTGCCTGTCCATCTCTGATATTGTCCTCCCACTTGTATCATTGCCCACCTCTAGCTGTCTTGCCTTCAAACTTTCCCACCAGTATGGTTTTTAAAAGCGTGTTATGTCTTGTTGTAGGAAAAGTATTTCAGATGCCTCTATTTTTTTATTTCTCTCAGTAATTCTCTTTTCATTTGTAGCTTTTCCAGAATCTTTGTATTGGACTATTTGTTTCCATGAAATATTACCTAGTCTTCTGTGTACCGACATCTCCAAACTCAGTTTGAATTGAGTTAAAAGCTTATTAATTTAGCAAACAATAGGAGGCTTCTGATTGTAAAAAAGAGGTTCAGCTACTATGAGTGTTCTGACCTTTCATCTTATTTACACTGTCCAGGTCATGACTCCCAAGTATCTTTCTTTTGTGCATCTGAATCCTCAGGAGCTTCTAAAATATATACTGTTGCTTGTTGAAGGACAAGTTAATTTTTGTATGTTAGTGTAGCTCTTTAGTCTTGTTTTTATTTCCACAATTACTTGATTTCTAAACAGTTCCACTGTTTAAATAAATTATACCAGGAGTGTCAATGATTGTAGTGTTGAAGGCAACACTCGCTTGGGTCCCATTTTGGGAAAGGGAGGGGGAGGGGGGTCACTACCCCAAACTAATATGTCATAACAGGCAATCGATTAGGAGTCTGCTGAAATCAGATGTTTTGGGCTTGCAGTGTGTAAGCAACACAACATGCCAACCATCCTGTTAAAGGTGAAAACACAGAAGAAGAAGAAAGCATTACCATAATTAAAGGATACCTCACTCGTTGTCCCAACAAGTAACAAAACGAAAATAAAGGCTTACTGATCTCTCTTCTGCTTGATGTTCATCCATCACGACTGATGAAGACAACTTTTCATCCAAAGTATCAATGATTTTGAGTACGAAGGCGGCTGATTAGTCCAATATGAGCTTGGAAAGTTCTTAAGCAGCGCGGACAACAGGTGGAAGCTGCAGTAAGTGTGTGATTGGCAATACGGTTCTTTAATGTCTGCCTCCATTTCTCTGTTTGTGCAACTTTCACTGCTTGGCAAGCTGATGCACCATGCCTGAGGGATGTACGCTATCCAGAATGGTCCTGTGTAGCAGCCTCCCATGTCACTGTGTTGATGCCAGAAGAATTGAGAGCAGTTTTGAGAGTATCCTTATAGCACTTTTTTCTGTCCTCCCTGGAACCTCTTCCCTTGCCGGAGCTCGCCATAAAAAAACTGTCTTTTGGAGGGGATAGTCTATCATGCGAGCTAGGTGACCAGCCCAATGCTAGGCAGGTTTGCCCTATCAAAAACCACAGTATAAAGGGCCAAACAATTTTTCCTTCTCCAGGACTCTGGCCTGCATGCCTTCATGAAACTGCTGTACAAACTTCTGATGACAGCCAAATTTAAACATGATTTTCCACAGTCCTCCTTTACTGACTATATCAGAGTCAGGTCTATGGTGGTAGAATAGAGGTCACAATTTTATTCTGAACACTTTTCCTGGAGCTGGCGAGCAGCAAACATTTTTTTAATGGTCCCCCACTCTTCACAAAAGCCACGCTGGGTCTCAGGCAGGAGGTTTTTATCCAGATGTACTGTAAGACCGTTTAGGAAAATTCTAGCGAGGATTTTATCAGTAATAGACAAAAGAAAGATTCCACGGTGATTGTCACATACTTGGCAGTTAACTTTACGTCAATATAAGTGTATGATTATTGCATCTTTGAAGTCTTGTGGGAGTATTTCCTGCTGCCGTACAGGTTGGAATATTTGGTATAATTTCTCAGGGAGGACATTACCACTTTCTTTGAAAACTTCAGGGCTATCGCATCAAGACCAGTAGTTTTACAACTAGACAGCTGATAAATGGCTTTCTTGGTCTCCATAAAAGTTGGTTTTTCAACGAGGGCTGCATTCATAGGGATCTGGGGCAATCTGTTTATAGATTCTTCTGTCTAAGGAGATGGATTGTAGACGATCTTTCAGTGTGGATACAAAATGTTTTTCACGGAGATGTTGAGCTTTTTGTAAGTCTTGTGTCCCTGTGGTCGTTTCAGTGGTTGAATGCGGAGGTTCATTTTCAAAATGACGAGACGATGGACTGTCCAGCATTCAGCACCACACACATAGACTTAGTTATTCATACGTCCTGTCTGTCTGTTTTTCACGATGACATAATCAATAAGATGCGACTGTTTAGAGTGGGGGTGCATCCAGAAGGTTCTTTTATAGTGTTTTCGATAATAAGTTCATGTTCTGGGGCAGCAGTAGCCCATTGCTATTACAATTTCCAATTCTATGTCTTCCAACTATATTATCCCACGTGTTAAAGTCTGTACCCACTCTAGCACTGAATTTGCCGAGGATGATGTCTTTAGGTATTGATTTGATGACAGCCCACAGGTCTTCTTAGAATCTGTTTATAGTCTTGTCTTGAGTTGGTCATTGATGGTGCATATGCAATTACGATTGTAGCATTTTTCTTTCCTTGAAATAATGGTACTGACATCACCATAAGCCGATCACTTTTACCTTTTGGGGGTTTAGTCAATGTGGTCTTTACTGCAAAACCCACTCTGGCTTCTCTGCGTTCTTCAGGACTTCTACCACTCCAGTAGAATGTGTAACCTGCACCAGCATTGCAAAGTTTGCCCTCACCGGCAAGTCTAGTCTCACTCAAGGCTGCAGTGTGACTGTTGTATCTACCATCTCTGCCGCTTAACCTTCTATCATCAGCAATTACTCTTCTGTCTTTCATGAAGTATACACCCTCAACAAGAAGCCCTTTATAGACTAGGTTGGATTTTTGCAGACAAAATTGTCTTTAGAATGGGGCAGCTAGTTTTACAACCACACTTCTTAGTCACCTGTTATGATGGTCATGATCGCTTACAGTGTTAGTTTTTATTTCTGTAGGCCCCGATTAACATCTGTGTTATCATCAGCTCTACCTTTTATCTTCGTATGGAGCTTACCCCCTTATCTTTAGAATATATTGTAACAGATTCAAGGGTTTCTTGACATCATCCCCCTCCCCCAACTGAAAAGCACCTCAGCTTTTTTTCCCTTCTTCTTCTCTTCCACCTTGTACCCCAGCGAAGTGTTCGGGGGAGATGTAACATTCGTTGATGAGCTCTGTCAAGAGCACTATTAAGACTGATGTTCATTTCTATAAGGCTGTTTATAAAGCCATCACTCCATTTTAAAAAAAATTCTAATATTTATAATTAAAATATTTGTTAAATTATTGACTATTAAAAAAGAGGGATCTGCAGGTGTTAGCTAAGTGGGAACACCACAACTGTAAAGTGTTATGACGTTCTACGTACAACATATTTCCTTAATTTATTGATCACAAGTAACATCTAATATGTGATGTAGTGAGTGATTATTTGTTGTGTATGCAGCAGCGCTTGAGCATTAAAATGTTTGTTTGGTGATACACATTGAATACTTTTTTGTATTGTCTGTGAATATTATTTTTTTGTATTTAAAAATTTGTTGACTGTAGCAGGCGAAGCTTTGTCATCCTGTGGCATGTATGCCAAGCATGGTACATGGAACAATTTTCAGTGGCACATAATAAACATAAACAAATAGACATGTTTTGATTGGCACTTACAGAAAGAACTAGAAAGATATGACACAATGGACAACATACAAATTGAAATGCTTTAGTTACCATATCAGGAATTCAACTTGTCAACATTAGAACACATATAAAATCAAAAGCTGTAGCTACCATACCAGGAATCGAACCTATAACCTTAAAATGACAACAACTCCTTGCTGCAGAGACAAGTGTACTTTGATGTATGACCACTCGAGACTTAAGGGTCTATATCATACAGCTTAAACTCACAATTATGGAATATAGACAGAATCAATTTGAAACCATTACAAAAATATTTCCCTAGGTTATAGAAATTTGTATTAACGAAGTAAAGATCAACCAAAAAGCACAACACGTAGAAGCACATCAGATTGTTTTCACTGGTATACTGAGTGAATTGAATTACAGTGTAATCCTCATCTTGGGTGTAATGGCAAGATGCATGCCTGTGGATCAGAAGGTCGTAGGTGCGGATCCTGATGGAGTCAAAGACATTTTTTAAAATGGCCTTGGCTCCCAGGTCAACCCAGCCTCAAGTGGGTACCTCTCCCGTGTGGGTTCCGGGGCTCTATTATAGGGAGAAAAAAATAGACCCATTGCCTACTCAAAAGCATGTCTTAAGAGTCAACTAATGGGAGCTTCCTATGAAGTCAGAGTGCATCTAGGAACCAAAAGTCTGCACACAAATGTGTCAGATCTGTCAAACTGATGCACACACAACACTCAGGTTCTGGAACAGGACTGCAGTCCAGAAGTGGATGAACAACCAGAACTTTCCACCAGCGGGAGAACGCAAAGAAGAAGAAGAAGTGGGTATCAGATACAGTCCTGGGAAATAAAGGCGGTCTGCTTGATGCTGACCACATCACTCACCAAGTGTCGATTGGTCTATAAAAAA